CTACTCTACATAATGAGCTACTTGGTGATCGAAAGACGTGTCGAGGTGTAAAAATAACGATTTGGTGTTGGGAAAAAACTCCAGTAATATTCATTTCTTATTTTGTTAATAACAATTGCAATTTTTTACCTGCACCAAAATCCTTCAAAAACATTTTTCTAGAGGTGATTCCGAATCGAATGAGCTATCGCTCATATTTTTAGAACCTTTATCTTTATTTGAAAACCTATTGAAACCTATACTTTACATTTCGACTGTCAGTATCGGGATTCGGGTGATGAGTGAAGTAATAGATTTCAAACAATTTATACAGTGGCATTTCGAGCTTCCACCTTAGTGCCTTAAATAAATTTGAATGAGACATTCAATTTGATCATATGCTAGTTAATATTCACCTTTTTCATTAATCACATTTTGTGCATTGATTCCCATTATCTATAACAAATTCATTTGAGTGAGAATTCGATAAAATGTAAGTATGCTTTCGCCATCTAGTAGTCAGAATCCCAAGCGACTTCGTTATTGGAATAGTCGTGTTCTCGTATGTTCGCATGAAGACAGTTTTTTTTAAATGGAATTTCTTCATGGTCACAATCTAGTAACTAGCGTTACAATTTTGTGGGAGGACAAACTTTCACTAGACTAGAGTAGAGAGTAGATGCACGCAATGAAACACCGAATAACGGTTAGTTTGTTTCCTACTCGTGCTTATCGTTTGTGTTTACTTCGTCATTCTGTGCCTGGAAATAGCTAGCATTAAATGATATCAGTGAAAATTTCAAACAACAGTGCACTAAACTGGAATATTTCAGAAGCAAATTCCGCATTTATGATCAGTTATAACTATGTCCAATGTGACTTTTTATTTCTGAACTATTGACGGTTGAATATTATTCCACGAATTTAACTTTTGCTTGTTGCAAAAATTTGCAATGTGTCTGATAAAAAATCTAGGTGTAGCAATAAATTTCCTATCAGTTGATAAAAACTATCAATGGAATAATGGAACCTTCGCGTTCCATATGCCATTTCATAAAGTGAAACATTTTTGAATAATATTACTAACTACCTAACTGGTACTTTAGATACATAAATATTCTTTTAGTTGCAAATTCTTGTCCTTCGCATATTTACTCGCTTGTTCTGACAGTGTTCAAAGTACTTTGTGGTGGAAAATGAGGATCCTACGACGGACATATATCAAATACAAACCATTAAATCTAGATAGATACTTAGATGAGGCTGTCATCGGTGAGTATTGAAAATAGCGTGTACACTTTTGAATAGTTTTTATGCAAATACCTTATTCCACATCTTTATCTCTAGCTACACGTGAAGATAAATATATTGTATATCAGAAAGAATTCAGAATTCTATTCAAATGATTCCCATTGAAAAACTATGGGACATAAGGAACGCTTACGATTTTTTTCCATCAACCATAATATTGTCATTTGGGTTTTTTGAATTAGTTGATGAATGGAATGCTAAATTTGTATATCTGAATTCGTTACCACTTTAAGGTGTTTCAGTGATCAAAATTTCAGGGATGTATTAGTGTAGAAAAGTTTAACAATGAGTCAAAACAATTTAAATAATTGAAGCGTACCTATTTGTGGGTGGATAGGTTGTTTTCGATCTGGTCAATTTTGGTTGAATTAAAACAGTTTTGAGTCATCTTTGGAACCTCTTTTCACTAATGTATCTCATCAAATTGTTCAGTAGATTTGATATGCATTTTCCAATGAATAATAGATGCGTTATTTGCATAATTGCATACAAGAGCTAGGATTGCTGAATATTTCAGTTAGAAATACTAGATGAAGTATTTGAATATGATACAAGTTAATTTCTGCAATTTTGTTAAGCTTTACTTTGAAATTATCAGAAAAGCTAGCAGATATCAGCTTACGTAGATGTTTTCAAATAATTAGCAAAATTGTATTTGCATTGGCACATTCGTTACCATAATTCATGTTCATGATAGTTTTCTAGAAGTAGGTAGTTGTGAGTTTCCTCCATTTGAAAACGCCGTAAATTTTCGAACGCCGTAAAGTTTCGAATGACTTTCGAAAGGTCATCGAAACCACATGAAAAGTGATGATCACCACTTGAAATTCCTAATACGAAAATATACAGCACTCAAAGGAAATAAAATGATGACTGACAAATATGTTTTTTAAAAAGGAGTTGAAGATTTTTAAGAATCGAAAGAATTTGAAAAAGTTGAAGTTGTTTTAAAATTCACGACTTTAATAATTCCGAAAATTGTATACAAAAACTAAATACAATGATAATTAAAGTAGTATCATTTCTTACCTTTGATTAATCAAAATGTTCAAAAGATTTTGAAAATGTTCATTTTTGATGAACACTTTAGAGGTCTGGTAATATTTAGGAATCGATGTCATACAAGAATAAATGACCTTAAACCGTACACTATCCGTAACAGATAAATATATGCCACCATGTTTTCTTTTGTGGACTTTTGAGAGATAAACAATATGTTTCGTCCATGTTTTAAGAATAATGATGAGCTAACAAATATGTTGTCAACCAACCCAACCCAACAAAAGTGTTTACAATTAGCAGAAGGTGTTTAAATATTATGCATGTATTAACATTTTTTTTTTCAATAATCATACAGATACATTCGATATTGTACATTTTTTAATGAATTTGGATTTGAATTAGGCAGCATTTTTGATGAAAGTACGCACAGGTAGTACATCATCATGTTTCAACCAATTTACTAGCAAAGAATTATATATATCGGATTTTTTTCAATCACTACGTCTATTGGTAAAAACTGTTTGAAAATCTGTTCATTAGTTTTTGAGTTCAACGCATTGAGACAGACTGACAGATCGTCGGAGACTTTGTTTCATGATATGTAGTAATTTTAGATGTACATATTTTGTTAACTTGATAATTCGGATAGAACGATTATGTGAAATAAATCTAGAATTGGATGTATGAGTTGAAACCTACATTCGGTATAAGAGGAATTGCTTCTCACTTGAAACTGAATTAAACACTAAAATGATTGTTATACTGCCAAATTTTTTAACTACACTTTTCGCAATATATTTCAACGCAGTTTCCGTGGATTCTCGTGTATGTTAGATATTCGTTGACACTATTATTACTAGTAGGTACTACAAAAACATGTAGTTTGATTTTTTGGTGAGAACGATTGGTTGGTTGGTTGAATGGTGAAACACTGAGAATTCAAATAGTTAAACTATAGTGGTGGCAATGAAGTTGAATACGAAGAAACTGAACATGAATCAATGGATACTAGCATTTTCTTCTGAGTATGAAAATAAAAAGTTCATACTTTCACTTCCCCTCACTCAAACTCAGTATGACCATTAATGAATATAAAAATGCTGAACATTTTTCATTTGTTATAGGTCCAAAATTTGGCAAGAGACATGGTCAGATCATAATATATTTCCTCCTCATCTTCATCGCCTACTCGATCAGAGTGAACTTGTCAGTAGGTATAGTTGCGATGACTGATCCGACGGCTAGTAGTAACCCAAATATACCGGTAAGTACTCAGTTTTTCTATTCACAAAAATTGTGAGGAATATCGATATAACATAGACGATATTCAACAGAACTGGTATAAAATTTCACAGAGAATTACAATTTTCGCTGCAGTAGTGGTACAGAACTTCATCGAAATATCAGATTTTCCAATGGATATCTGACTTTTCAATAAATGCATTTTCTTTTTTCGAGTGAAGTTTCCTAAGAAGAATATAATAAATTTGAATATTTCTTAAGTGTCACTCTACGCGGATTTTCTGTAAGTTGCTTAACTTATTATCTAGGTCAAGTGTATACCCACTTTCAACTTCAAAATACTTAGAGTGGAACCTTTCTTTTAAAAATGATAACATAGTTCAGGGGGATGTAGTGTTTTTTAAAAGGTTATAATCAAAATGCAAAAGGAGAACAACCCCTTCTCAACAAGTACTATCTTGGCTATTAAGGTATTCCACTGAAACATCAATTTGTCGAAATGTCGAAATTCATAAATGGAATTCTATCAGATATCTCTCGTTGAAAATATTCTATATCAGTACCAACAATCTAATAACCGTTCAAGAAGCATTCGTTTCAATATCCCTGTTCCTGCGGAAGTTTAATTTAAAACGTTTGTTATTGTTAATCTCGTTCATTTTAATTTTATAGTATGTTTGTGTCAATTTTCCTGTTTAACCCTGTATAAAAGACAATTGAGAGTGTAATTTGTAAATAAAAAGTTGTTGACGGTACGAAAAAATTATGTGCTCATTTCTTCATATCAAATAAAACCAAAGTCTTGACCAAGTTTAATAGTTAAACCAAGCCAAGCCTCTTCCTGAGAGACTCATCTAAGGGACTATTCGAAGATTATCCGCAATCTATAAATGTTTTGTTCAAAAACTACTTTGATTATGCGTTGAGGCACCAAGTTCAAACGGTTAAAATGTGTGCACACATAAAATTTTCGAAATTGCTGAACAATTTTTTAAATTATCATACATGAAAGATTTTGCTTGCAAGCGAAATTATAAATGTGCATATTGTACTTGTCAAAATTGAAATTTTAGAATTTATACAAAATATTTGAAAATCATTCAATTCCCAAACAAATGTGTTGAGTCGTTGCAAAACTCTATAAAAGTTGCCTACGCAACATTGAAGATCTTCGAAATAACAGGTCTTCCGAACTTTCGCAATTGATAACGGCCATCTTGTTGAAGCTAAATTTGTCAAATTAGTTTTCATTTATTCAGTGTGTTTCGCCAAATTACCATGGACGGATATAGCTATCAACAACACGTACCAATATTAAAATTGTTCAATCAAAATTAGTGTTCTGTTCAGGCAACATACTGAGCGCCTCGCCCGTTTTATGGACGCCATAATCGTCCCACCGAGAGAACTATTCGCAATGTGGTGGACAAATTTGAGTCCACCGTTTCAGTAAACTATCGATCAACACCCTAACGTCGACGAAACGCAAGATCTGCCGAATACATCACCGCTGTCTGCGAGAGTGTGCCGAAAAATCCGAAGCAGTCGATTTCGCGTCGCTCACAAGAACTCGGCCTTTCGCAGACTACAACTTGGCGAATTTTTCGTCGTGACTTGGACTTGCACCCGTACAAAATTCAACTGACCCAGGAACTGAAGGTGAACGACGTGTTCGCTGAAAGAGCTCTGGAGCAGTTGGAAACTGACCCTAATTTTCATCGAAAAATCATCTTTAGCGATGAGGCCGATTTCTGCGTGAATGGGTACGTGAACAAACAAAATTCTCAAATTTGGGACAATGTCCAATCCACACGAGATCCAAGAGCGTCCAATGCATCCTGAAAAGGTCAATGGTTGGTGTGGATTTTGGGCTGGTGGAATCATCGGTCCATATTTCTTTGAAAACGATGTTGGCCAGGCCATCACTTTAAATGACGAGTACTATAAGTTGATGGTTATCAACTGTTTTTGGCCTGAATTGGACGATCTGGATACCAACGTTATGTGGTTTCAACAGGAGGGCGCTACGTTCCGCAAGGTTCATGCCACATGTATATTCAGCACGAGCGATTTGAGGGCATGGTCATCTCACGTGGAGGTGGTGTGAACTGGCCACCCAGATCGTGCGATTTGACTCCGTTAGACTTTTTTGTGGGGTTTTCTCAAGTCGTGGGTGTATGCGAATAAGCCACAAACCACAGCGATCCTCATAGCCAACATAATCCATGCCATCGGTCAAATTCTGTCCGATTTATGCATGGAAAATTGGTGGTGGACTTTGGAACGACATCAGTTAGTCTTTCAAACGATTGAAAGTTTCGATGATATATTACACAATTCGTTTTATTTAAATTCAAAGATAGGAAATGCTTAATGAACCATCCAATTGTTCATCAAATCTTGTTCAACTGTCAACGACACCATTTAAATCTCTTGATTTTTCATGTCTCATAATAGATTGGTAAGTAAATTATTTCAATAACAAATAACTGATGAATAATACATTTTTTAGACTTACAACTGGACAGATAAAAGTGTTGTCTTGTCGGCGTTCTTCTGGGGTTACATTCTTCCCCAAGTGGGAGCTGGGTGGTTATCGAACCGTTACGGTCCAAAATGGTTTTTAATAGGTTCGATGGGAGTTTGTTCTCTGGCCGGAATGGCAATTCCTAGTTTGGCAGCGAGTCTGGGTTCGAAAGGAGTGATGGTTGGAAGAGCTATTCAAGGACTGTCGCAAGGCTTCATATTTCCATCTATGCACGTTCTTCTGGCTAAATGGGTACCACCAAACGAGAGGAGTAGATTGGGAACATTTGTGTATGCAGGTAGGAACTAGAAATTTTGAAAATATCAACCCAAATTTAATAATTCAGAAGAAACTCAGTACTGACATTGAATATTGTTATAAACATAACGGTGTGTGTGTGTGTTCGCGCGTGCGCGTGCTTTTGCGTGTTTTGGTGCGTGCGTGTGTGTGAACTAGATAGTTTTTGAGTGAATGAAGATTCTAGTAAAATTTTTGATTTTCGATACTTCGACAAAGTTAAGCCAATGCACATTATGTATTGTGAAGTCGTTAGATGTCTTTCTGTTAATAGAATTGAATTATGATCCCTAATTCCGTACCTCAGCTGAATATTCTCGACGTGAACTTGTGCTGTTTCTGTCTTATTTCATTTTTCGGAAGGTATATCCTTCGTTGAGTCAAGTTTCGTCCAGTAGAACTTAGATGCTGAAATTGTTCAACATGAGAAAAGCTAAGGCTATTACTTAAATTTTATGTATATCGATATGATGATTTTGATTGATGCAACTAGTTTTCCTTCATTTTCAATGTTTAAATATTAACACTTGTATACAAAAAGGATTTGAAGCTTTGATAATTTTCACTTATTATATGCGAGCGCTTTCGATAACAGACTGTGCTATCATCTTCACAGCTCTACTCAAAACTGAAAGTCTTTTCTTCTTGTTTGTTCTTTTATACGATGAGATCGCCTTAGTGAATTTGTTATTGTTGTTGATGGTTCATTAATTAGGACTTATGCAGATATTTGTCATACCATTTCAACCAGATGTCTCATTAAATTTGTCTCTAATTGGGTTATATCAGGTAATATCCTTTGTGTTGGTGTTTCTCTAGGTTCATTGTTCCTAGGAATGTTGCATTGTTTTGTGGAGTATATTGAATGTTAGGTCTTGTTGTGTTTTGATTTGTATTTGTTTCGTGATGGACTTTATTCACATACATAGGTCACCAAACCAGAAAATTAATAAACATCTTGAAACCATTGAACATCACCATCACTTACAAGCCAAACACGAGAATAAAACAAAAAATAAACAGCTATGAATAAAAAAAGACAAAAACCTGAACGGAGTGTACAGCATTCAATGCTCGGACTGCACCAAATTATATGCAGGCCAAACCATGAAAAAATTGATCCAACGACGAGCACAAAAAAGCATACATAAACCCAATAACATATAAATCATACCTCACCACACACGCCATACAAAACAAACATAACTCTCCCCCACCAGAAAACATCAAACTCATAAAACAAGTCAATGAAGGAATGTGTATGAACATCTGGGAAAACGTAAACATCCATAATGTCAAAAATCATAGTTCACTTATCGAGGAACAAATACAAATCAAATCACAACAATACCTAACATTCCATAAACTCCACAAAACAATACACATTCCTAGAAACAATGAACCTAAAGAAACACAGAGATATTACCTGATACAACCCGAGTACAGGCAAACTTAATGAGACATCTGGATGAAAAGGGAGGAAAAATACCTGCCCAAGCCCTAATTGATAAACCATCAACAACAGTAACAAGTTCACTAAGGCGATCTAACCGTATAAAAGAACAAACAAGAAGATAAAATGTTCAGTTTGAGTAGAGCCATGAAGATGATAGCACAGTCTGCTATCTAAAGCGCTCGCATAAAATAATTAGAAGTTATCACAGCTTCAAATTCTTTTTGTGAACAAGTGTTTATGATATGATGATGCAAGAAAAAGCTATTTATCAATAAAGTCTTTTATTGAATATTTCGTGTATGTACATAAATTATAGCTGCCATGAGCCAATTATTACAAAAGTAACAATTGGCTTGTGAAGACGAATGTTTCACATTTCTCATAGTTCAAGGAATTGTCACAACCGATCATAAGTTGGACAATTAACTCAAAATTGAACGAAGAGTTTATTAAGTTGATTTTTTCAATTGACTATTTACTGTTGATTTTTGATTTGGAATGTTTGTTTAATATTACAATCTAATCTCTGAGGATTGATCAATAGTGTATATAAGTAAATAATTCCCACACTTGCAATATTTCATGTACGAAAATTTTCACAGATTGTGAATTTGATAGCAAAGACATCTGATAACTGATAAAAGATTACATTTATTTCTGATAATGAATTATTTTTGTCTACGACAGATGGTTCACTCAACCAATTATTAATTCGACGAGAGAAAGACAATATGGAGATATATTTCAATTTGAGGATTAACTGTTCATTGGAAAATTTGTGTTATCAATTAATCTGCCAATAACTTAATAAAGAAAGCGGATTCAGCGAAATTACTCCAAGACAGTGGAATAATACCAAGGCCAAAAGAGTACCTCGTCTATCATTTGTAATGAGGCGAATGAATAACATTGTGTTTACTGAACTGAAATATACAATATAACGAATATCTAAACTATTCATGCGAAAGTTTATTTTGTTAACAGGAATATAGGTATACTGATAAAACGCCTCTAAAAATTCACCGAAGGGTTTTCAGCATTACCCACTTTCTCAATGGTAGGTAACAATATTATTACACGCTGTCAATGTTATTTTCGACGAAATGTATCAATTAAGACAGCGTTGACAGATCTAGTGCCACACATACATAAAAACCTGGATCCAAATCAATTCGTCGTGGTATTATTCTTCGACTTGTGTGGAACTTTTGATACTACAAAACCAAGTTTTTGGTAAATAATAATAAATGTTTTTATTGCTACACAAACAGCAGTTACAGAGAACAAGGTTAATTAATAATGAGTAGCAAATGACATCGTTCGCTCTTCTACCTTATGAGAACGATAGAAAAGCGCTCTTCCACGCAACCACGGAATTGCAACCGGAAGCAATGGGTATACTCGGTCCCATAAAATCCTACGTTAGTGGAACGTGAAGGGAAGGTTGGCAATGTATATTTGTAATCACTCCATCTCACTTGGTGTACGTCACAAGGGTGAATTTTAGAGCCACTCCCACTTTTATTCTATAATAATGACCTACCCTGTATTCATTATTCATGTATTCATGTATCTCTAGCCTTCTTCGTAGTTCCAGACTATCAAGGTTGCAAGTGATGTTCGCGTCTCCAATGAGGTGGATGGCTCTTTTCTGGATGAAATTCAGCAGTTTCAGGGTATGCTCAGGGGCCATACATGAGAACAATACTCCAAAGAAGGTCTGATCTGAGCTTTATAAAGCATCCAAAGTTGATGAGGTGTACAGTTTTCTAGTTTGGAACAGTGTTCCAAGCTGTTCCAAAAGAAGCGGCTTTTGCAATTCTAGCTTCATTACTGTGCCAAGACATATTGGTTTCCATATTAATCCCCAACAAACTCATCGAAGCAGAAAGTGGAATCGTTTGAAGGTGGTTGACAATGTTTTGTGTTGTATTTCATCAGTTCGGACTTCCATTGTCTAATATAATATAAATTGATTTGAAATGCCTGAAAAAAATTAAAAAGATTAACCGAAAATAACAATTTTATTAAACAATAAACTGAAATTACAAAAAAATAACATACAAGCAACAACCAAAAAAATGAAAATTGAAATATTAATGAAAGCTGAAAATAAAAAAATATTATTAACAAAAAAGGAAAAATGAAAATTAAAAGATTCCAAACCAAGTTACGTCACGACGTTTCGATTGTTAGTATCTACAATCGTCTTCGGGTGAGAACTTACCCGAAATAGAAAAAGTGGAATTGTCTGACCTGACATTATTATATAAGGTTCGGAGACATTTTTTTTGGGGGGAAAACCGATACCTGGGTTTTTGTGGCATTGAATTGAACCTGGTTATTTTCACCCCAATTACTTCTAGATCCTCAGTAAGATATGCAATCTCCTGCTGCCGATGAAGATGTTCATGTGATATCCTAGAATCCAAATAGAATGGCGAAACAAGAGTCGTCAGGAAAGCAATATATTGGATTCGCGTTTTTTTTTCAATCAGTCGTTGATATATACGGGTGACATACGATAGAATGTCGCCTGTTGATCTTTGTATCCGAAAGCCATATTGATGATCGCTCAAGATGTTGAAGCCTTCCAAATATTCAAGGTTAGGGTGGTTTACGGCTTTCTCCATGACTTTTGATATCACTGATAGCAGAGCGACTGGTCTATAGTTATTTGGAAGATTTTTCTTGCCCTTTTTGGGAATAGGCTAAACGCGAACAATTTTCCAACAAGAAAGAAAAATCCCTTTGTTGTAAGACAGGTTTAAAAGTCTGCAAAATACTGGTGCTACTTCATTTGTGCACTTTTTAAGAAAGATTACGGCACTTCATCAGGACTAGATTCCTTCTTTATATTGAGCTTCAGAATTTGCCTGACCAGNTATAATGAAAATCAACGGAACCGTCATGCGTATATAATGAATATAAGTGCGGTGACAAACAGGACCCCTGCGGGACACCTGCTTTGATTGAATAATTTGCAGATGTGGTTTGGTCCACTCTTACACGAAAAGTTCGGTTGCTCAAGTAGTTTACAGCTGTTTTGAGCATTAACAAACCTAGTTCGGTTTTCGGTACTAGGGTTTTATCGAAATTTTTGAAGGCGAGATCTTCACGATAGGTATCCCCATCCTAGACCTATTTTTTGGCAAATACAATTGAGTTATGCTCTATAAAATTCTGCTTTCTTGTGTAGCGTTTTTTTTTTGTCGAAAGGATCATGTTATAACTCATTATTATTGAATTCCTGTATCAGCACGACACATGAAATATTCACTTATATCCTATGCGATTACCATTAAATACATATAAATATTTACCTTTCTCATTTTGGGTAATCAACCAACTTTTTCCAGCTGGCCCATTTGGAACAGTAGCTTCGATGTTACTAACGGGCTTCATCGCCTCTAGCTGGTATGGATGGCCAATGGTATTTTATTCCTTCAGTGGAGCTGGATTAGCATGGTGTTTTCTCTTCTGCTATTACGGTTGCGATGGACCATCACATCATTCGACAATAACTGAAGAGGAGAAATTTTACATTGAAAACAGTTTGGGTCATACGGATCAATCAACGGTAAATATGGAAATTGCATTTTTGTTTTTGTAGCAAGAATAGTTAGTAGTAAGGTAAAGTAAAGCAATAGTGATACACTTGTATTTATGTTTGTCTACTTGGAAGTTGATTTAAACAAAAGTAAGTTTCCGTATTCAATTTGGAATTGTTATCATATTCCAAAGAAAATTACAGTCTGCCAATGCCAATGAACTGCATAACAAGTGGATAGTATAGGAGGCACTGAGCATTGGCCCCCGAGGTCACTGAACCTCAATCCCGTTGATTTTTTCTTTTCGGGACACCTAAAATCACTAGTTTATGCTAGCCCCATTTAAAACACTCCGGGCATTTTTCAACGGGTGCATAATTCTTTGATGAGGAGAGCAGAAGCTTGTATTACTGTTGGGGGTCGTCACTTTGAACAGTTGTTGTAATAGTTGTTTCGTTCAATTTTTATATGTTTATTTTCCGAATAAATAACATATTACTTCTCCGAATTGTTTTTTCACCAACTCCGAAATGTAGCACTTTCTAATTGAATAATTGAACCTGACATTTTTTTTTTAATTTGGATTGAATAAGAAGTTCGATAATGCTCAGTTCAGAAGAAGTTTGTACGGGTATACTGTGTATATGCATCGATATGCATCGATATAGAAAATAGTAAATATCTCGAAAACGATCACCTACAGCTTTGTTGAGGAAGTATACCTTTTTTACTTGGAAAAGGTGTGGGTATTAGTTTTTTTCATGAAAAGTACCAAAAGTTCACTGTCAAAAAAGTTAGGGCAATTTGAAATAAATAATGACAGCGTACGCAGCGCCCTCTAGATGTTACATGAAAATTAATACGAAATTATGATTTCCCACTTCAAAAAAACCCCGGGTACCGAATTTCGTGCAAATAACTTATTTTTTGCAAGAGTTATTTTGAAAAAGCGAACAAAAACATTCAATTTCAACACCCCCTATCTCCGAAACGAAGCATTTTCGGACACAAGTTCATATAGCCTTTTTTTTTAATTGTCTCAGGAATACTACAGTTGAATATTTCAACATACTTATGTTACACCCTGTATATATATATCCCCATCCCCAAAGTATGCATCATATGGGAAACGTATTTATTAAGGGTTTTTCAACAAGTTATTCTTGAGAAAGTTTGTGCATTTCCTAAAACTCAACATGCACCAACGAAATACAGTAAAACACACGTCATTCACGAGGAGCCTTCAAATATTTGATTTTGAGACAGGAGTAAAGTACTCTTATTTTGAAAAATCTCAGGAAATATTATTAAGAAAAGGTGTTCAACATTAAAAATACATCTAGATTTGAAGTCATGGCCATCTAAGTGAAGTTTTATTTTTTCATCCATTTTTTTAATGGGGACTACGAGAAATGAAAATTTGCTGAAACGATAAATAGACAATATCCTGTATACGGCGGTTTATTTAAAAAGCCTGCAATATTACAATTCACACAACTATGGTGTTAACTACGGTCAATTTTTTTTAAACGTAAAATAAATCTCGAATTTTTTTTTACACCAAATATTACATAACATGTTAGCAGTTACGATTTATACGGATACGCGCCTAGGTTTATATTTTTGCCAATTTGAATTGTCCACTCTAGAAATACAATTATTGAAAACAATACACCCCAAAGACATATTTGGAATTCAAGTACTTGTATGTAATGGAATAATAACTCTTGTACTATTAAACTGAGTCCTAATTTTTTTTTGTCCGCTTTTTTTAGTAATTGTTACAAGTTTGAGAAGACAGCAAACTTCAAATGATGCATAAAGCTAGTGTTTTATCGTGAACTGTTTTATTATAAGTACCTTAATATTTTCACAAAATCAAGCTTCATTCGAACTTTTTTTATGCATTCACAGAAAATGTCGACACCTTGGTCAAAAATATTCACATCCTGGCCCGTTTGGGCTATCTTCCTCACGCAAAGTGGTCACAACTGGGGATTTTGGACATTATTGACGGAGATTCCCGCTTACATGAGCAACGTGATGGATTTCAACATCAAATCTGTGAGTTGATTTGTCTAGGTACAAAAGTTTCCCTGAATTTCCTTTTTTTTTCTCAGAATAGTGTTCTATCTGCACTGCCATATTTTGTACTTTGGGTATTGAGCTTCGTCTTCAGCTCCATCGCCGACTGGCTGATTAACAAAAATATTCTCACAATTGGAGTTTCCAGAAAAGTGTTCAATACTATTGGTGAGTTGAACTATTTTCCTAAACAGAGAATTCGGAGTGGTTTCAGGAAAAAACTAGTAAAAAAGTTGATCAAAAATCGTTTTAATTCAGAAACTGAAAAACATCATTTCTATTGATAAATTTTTAATGGATTTCAAGTAATATACGAATCAAATCATATTGTTCAAATTTTTACCAAATTAATTGAATAGTAATAGTTCATAATAATAACATAATTTTCCCTAACTGAAGTATTTGAATTCAAATAGAAAACTCATATCTGAACTGGATTTTCTTTCATTTGCCATGCCAAAATCAGGAAAATCAAAAAAATGCTTGAAAGGCTTCAAGATAATGTGCAAAACTTACATTCATAAGAAAAACGGTTTAGGCAAGTTTTAGTCCGAAATACTTTTCACGTTTACAATAAAGAATCTCTGTCTCTTACGAAAATAACTTCTTATTTTTTCTTCAAATACCACATAAACAGTTTTAGGCAAAGTTTTTAGTTTTTTCAATATTCCAGTCACGTCGTTGATAACTAGAACTGTCTATAATATTATATAGACTGACTCTTGAAAAAGGTTTCATAAAGTTTGACTCTCCTGGTAAATAATTTTCAAATGAGAGCAGACAGTTTAATATAAAGGGTAGTTCTATGGAGAATGAAAACGGAATATTTACTCCTCTCGGCAAACTTCAAAATTATTTTTTCAAAGGTGAAAATTTTCTACTTTTTTTGTTTGAAGGCTAAAAGGCACATAACTTCAAATTTATGTCTGATAACAGCAGTAGCAGTAGTTCAAACCTCTCCCTCTCCTTCCTACATGGTTTTTATTGAACATGCAACAAAAATTTTATTGACTATCCCTTGGACTATTCTAGGGATATTTTGTTCTTTGATTATTTTTGACGTGGCTCTGTATCGAAGATATAGAGCGAAAACGAATTTCGACAATATCAATTTAGTACCAAAAAGTAAATGTAATGTTTCTTAATCTACAAGAACTGTTAAACATGACTATCCCCCGCAAGGAGGCAAGAATCCAATCTTCTCATCGACTCCCGAACTCTTTCAAAACCACTAGGATCGTTTCTGATTGCGTTACTCCCAGCAAATTGAATGTCTGCAGCCGTTTGTAGTTATCGGAATGTTGTAGGTATCAATGGAATTGTTAGATTTTTTATCACTTCGTAGGTCCAGTGTGGTATTTCGGCTACGTTAATATATTCAACATTACCAAAACTGTTACTGTCGAAAGTATCTTTTGCCCCGTATCTTCGAAACCAAGCGTCATATCAAAAATCATAATAGGATAAAATATCCTTAGAATAGTCATAGGGATAGTTCCTTGATTTTTTGCGGCATGTTTATTGAACGGAAAATAAAATTACATTCAAAATGTTACTTATACCGTATCATTTGACTGATAACATTATGAGAATACGAAAAATATTGTGATGTGTCATTTGCCAGAACGTGACTTTTGGGAACATCAAAATTCAAAGTTATCTTTATTTTTGGTTACACTTAATAAATACTTGACTTGTTTTCGTCATAACATGGAAAGCTTCATCGAACATTCTATAAATTGGAGAAGATAAAGAATACACATTAATTCGTTTTGCAAAATTTTTAATATTCTCGATTCAACTTCCTCAACGTTGAAAAATATACTCCTTTGCCTCTCGTGAAAAGTATGTGATGCGAAAGTAGATTTGAACCAGACCGTCTGGTTGTTTGGTTTAGGTATTTGTCATGTCTAACGAAATGACGAGAAATGCTATAGATATACAAATAAATAAAGTTTGACTTTTAAAATATTTTATTTTGAAAGATTTCCAAATTAATGAATACAGAAATTGAAATTGATGTTTGCGGCTTTTCCTAAGACTGAAATCTTTAATTAAAGCACAATAATCTAACGAATGAGCTACGTCATTTTCGATTGAAAGAATAGCAAGGGCTGAAAGCCGTTCTTGTGTCATCGAATTCCTCAAATATGTTTTGATAATTTTGAGCCTCGAAAAACTCTTCTTTCAGCAGACGCAACTGTTACAGGTGTGGTGGCAATAATTCTCAGGACTATTTCGATAGTAGGGTAAACTTCGGTTAATTTTTCTTCTATTATGTATTTCAGCACCGAGATAATGTCGTCGTTTTTTTCATATACGTGAATAAACATTCTTAGTTCTTCGTACAATTCATGTCCATCAATATCACATGATTCCTCTACTGTCATATATATTTGCAAGTCGTTGCATTTCTTCAGTCCACTATCACTAATTTCTTTTAATCTTTTTATATTATACATGAAAGCAAATATGCTCTCATGATGTTTAAGTGCCTCAAAGCTAGGATGACAGCTTGTGCGCACATTGTCGACAATAACATAAAAATAGTTTATTTTGAAAGTCTCTTCCGCTTTCAATTCTTGAGCTTCATCTTCTCCCTCATAATCAAAATGCTTGTTTTCGTCTTCTTCTGACTTCTTTGAACTGCCTGTCAATATAATTTTCTTCGGCTATTTCTCTCGCTGATACAAGGGATGATATTTTTTCGATAACTATCGAGCCAATTTGTGAATGCGTCTAGGTATTGTATAGCCACATCTAAGTGAATGTTTTCATTTTGCCACATTTTACTTATAACATTTATCTTTGTAAGAATGTCATACCATATGACAAGTGAAACTACAAATTCGTAGGTAGTTATTTCCTTTTCTATAGAATGGCATTCACTGACCAACTGACAATCTGTTGTATTTTCTGATGATTCCTTTAAAGCATCACATATATCACTCAGTTGGTATTTAACGGCCTTCACCGATGCTACCCTGCACTCCCATCTAGTTTCAGAAAGTGGTTTTAGCGATAACGATTTCACATGATTACTTAAAATAGCCCACCTCTGACTTGAGCCGGCAAACAAAGTGTACAACCTTTGTAACAAACCAAAAAAAGATTTTGCTTGGACAGAAGACGATGCTGCATCTCCTAGGATGAGATTCCAGCTATGACTCCCACAAGGTAAAAAATAAGCAAGTGGATTGATTTCAAGAATACGTTTTTGGACCCCACTTTTCTCACCAAGCATATTGGCACCATTATCATATCCTTGGCCTCTGCAGTTTTTCAATGATATACCTAACTGTTCTAATTCTGTGATTATATAGTTAGTCAAACTCTCAGCTATAGTTTTTTCGACGGCTAAGAAACCAATAAAATGTTCTTCAATTTCAGCTGTATTTGTAAAAAATCTTATAATATAATAGGACTGATGACCTCGTCGAATCCGTCGACATCCAGCCTGGTTACTGGCGTAGGGGGCCGCCAATCCTCACACTTCATATTTCACTTCGATATTCATGAAAATGTGACATTATTTGTTTGAAGATGATTGACAATGTTTCATGATGAATTTCACTAGTTCGGACTGCCATTGTCTAATATATAAAATTATTTGAAATCCCTGAAACAACTAAAAAAGAAGAATTGAAAATGAATAGCTGAAAATAACAATTATATTAACCAAAATAAACCTGAAATGAAATAATAGTGAAATAAAATACAAGTAAAAATAAAACAATTGAACAAAAATTAAAAATAAAGAAATACAAAATGAAAATAAAGATAAAAATAAAAAAGTTGAGAGATTTCAAGCCAAGTTAGTTCACAACGTTTCGATTTTTAGTATCCACAATCGTCTTCGGGTGATGACGTTATTTATTTTAACTACACCTCTTTTTTGGACTCCGCCCAAAAAAGAGGTGTATGGACTCTTTTTTGGACTCCGTCCAAAAAAGAGGTGTGGACTACGTCCACAACATCCACGTGCCGTCTTCAAGGGCGGTTGTTATTGGTATAACCGTCCTCTGTCGCGGTCGGAGAGGAAGTCGTATTGTGAATTGTATTTATTATTTTCATTTTCAGGTCTGATAGTTCCTGCCATAGCACTGATTTACCTTGGGAATACTGGTGCAGATGAGCACAACAAAGCTATAACTTTACTAGTCATAGCTGTTGGTGTGAACTCTGCCATTTACTGCGGTTTCAACGTGAACCACATGGACATATCTCCAAATCATGCTGGTACTCTTATGGGAATCACGAATGGTGCCTCAAACATTTGTGGTATAGTGGCTCCTTTAGTAGTTCAACTTCTTGTTGTGGAAGAGGTATGATTTAATTATTGTTTATTTACATATCGAAAGAGGTATATTTTTGGGAGAAAATAATGTTTGGGAAAGAAACGTTTTGGCTTTCTATACAGTCTTCCAACAGGGGCTTCCGAACTTTGACAATTGATAACGGCCATCTTATTGAAGCTCTCTCTGTCAAATTAGTTGTCATTTATCCAATCTGTTTTACCAAATCACCATGGACGGATATAACATACGAAAACACGTGCGAATAATCAAAATAGGTGTTTTGATTGCTTTGCCCATTTAACGGTCGCCATAATCGTCCTATTGAGAGGACTCTTCGCAATGTGAATGTGAATAAATTTGAGTGTACTAGATCAGTAAACGATCGACCAACACCTATACGTTGACGAAAGGCAAGATCTGCCGGAAACATAGCTGCTGTCTGTGGGAGTGTGCAGGAGAGAATTCAAAACAGTCGATTTCGCGTCTCTCACAAGAACTGGGCTTCTCGCAGACCACAACGTGGCAAATTATGTGTCATGACTTGGGAATACGCCCCTACAAAATTCAAGTGGCCCAGAAACTGATGGTAAACGACCATAGGACCATAGAAAACGATGTGCGTTTGCTGAATGGGCTCTGGAGCAGTTGGCAACTGACCCTAATTTTCATCGAAAAACCATCTTCAGCGATGAGGCCCATTTATGAATGAATGGGTACGTGAACAAACAAAATTGTCGAATTTGGAACGATACCGATCCACATGAGATCCAAGAGCGTCCGTTACATCGCGAAAGAGTCTCTGTTGGGTGTGGATTTTGGGCTGGCAACGGCGAGCTCTATAAGTTGATGATTACCTAATTATTTTGGCTTGAATTAGATGATTTGGATACCAACGACATGCGGTTTCAACAGGACGGCGATATATGCTACATAGCTCATGCCACATTGGATATTCTTCACGAACGATTTGAGGGCATGGTCATTTCATGTGTAGGTGGTGTGAACTGGTCACTGAGATATTGTGACCCTGTTAGAGTTTTTCCTGTGGGGTTTTCTTAGGTCGTTAGTATATGCGAATAAACCACAAACCACAACGGTCCTCAAAGCCAACATAACCCATGCCATTGGTCAAATATCGCATAAATATGATAAATTGGACGTTTAGGTTGCCCTCCACTCAGAGAAGCCGTGGCGGACATTTCAACGATGTTATATTCTACACATAATGGCTTTAATGGATCTTTCCAACGCTTAAAATTCTGATGATATCTCACACTCACTTTGTTTCATTTGAATTTAAAGATAGGAAGCGCCTAATTGAAGACCCTAAATTTCTCCATCTTTATGCAAGTTGAGAAACTTGTGTGAGTTAAGGACTAACGAGGTTCTACCTTTCAACGTGTGATTCCTAACACGGTTATTACACACCAAACTAATTAAAGAAAATGATCAATAATATGTAGGTAATAATATGTATTTTTTCACTTTCTTAAGATTGTTTACAGTAAAACTACATATACATATAGTAAACAAATAAAATAAATCTTATGAGACAAAAGGTAAGATCGCCCAAGTTTCGACTTCTGGGGGTTGTCGTTCGTAGGGGTGCGATAGCTGGTTAACGGAAAAATAGATTCTTAAAAGAGATTTTTTTGAATGGTCTGCCTGTGTGTAAGGAATGAGAATACTGAAACTGGCATTGAATAAGATTCATGCATTAAATTGAGTACTAAGATATAAATTCAAAGTAGCTACATTTGAATATATTCAGAAAAACCTTCTTTCGTTCTTTATTTGAATAGGGCATAGAAATGGAAACTTATGAAACTTGAAGAAAAAATAACAAATATCACTGAAACTTTTAAAACATGAAAATTTGTTTTGGTAAAAAAATGTAAAATACTCGTTGATGGGTGAATCGCAATACATCAACGTCATCTGCTGCTTTATTTGAATAGGGCATAGAAATGGAAACTTATGAAACTTGAAGAAAAAATAACAAATATCACTGAAACTTTTAAAACATGAAAATTTTTTTTGGTAAAAAAATGTAAAATACTCGTTGATGGGTGAATCGCAATACATCAACGTCATCTGCTGATGAAAATGAATGATTTCAATAAACAATTATTTTTAAAAATGTATGTGCATGTATTGGAAACCATAAAATGTTATGAATTAATTTTTTTTATAGCTCTAAGAAACTGAGATATTCCAATCCTCATACAGTGAATGCATACAGAGACTATTGAAAATTATAATTTTTTGAATATATAGGGGCTATTCAAATTTTAAGTCTATGCATGGAAATCTCGTGAACCGTGAAATATAGAAAGTAGGCTAGATTGTGGCAAAATTTTCCTTCATATTGACATTTTGAATACATACCTTTTAAGTGGCTTTATCATTATACATTCGTTATCATTTTCTATTCCAGAAAAATCCGGAGCAATGGAAAGTAATATTCTACTTAACGGCTTCCATTTATGCTCTTGCGAGTTTAATCTTTGTTATATTTGGATCTGGAGAAATCCAACCATGGAATGACGAAGATAAATCAGGTGTGTAATGAAAAAATATTCTGTTTATCATCATTCAGATAACATATGTTATTTCCATCATATCATTACGTCATTGACAGATATTATTTATTTTCTCGTATTAGAAAACCATAAGGCGACCTAGACAACAATTTCCTTTCAAATACAAGTGATTCTCTTGTTGAAATTTTTGGCAATAACATTCAGAACGTATATCTGAAATGAAAGTCTGATATTGTACGTGAACATCAACATCAATTGAGTGATAGAAACTATCTCTTTCGAATACTTGCAATACCTTTCATGAACTGAAATTTCGTGTTTTCAAAATATTTTTCCAACCTGAAACCACTGCTACCTAGCTAAAGCTATCAACTCACAGTTGAGAAGACAGTATTTGAAGAAGGATATTTTTACAATTTTAATCCTCATTTTACAGAGTTGTGGAGATTCTAAAGAATATCAAAGATGGGAATACCTTCAAGCACCACTTCATTGTGACTTATTCGATTGACGACCTATTCATTTTGTGGAAATTCATATAAATAGAAATAGAGAAAATAACTTCTTTCTAATTTTTACTAAGATTTTGATTTGTGGAAATTCATATTACTTGATGGATAGAGGAAATAACTTAGGTCTATTTTCATTTTCATTTGATCAATTCACTTGAGAATTGTTTGATAAACCGAAACTTAAAATCTCAGTAGAAACTAGATAAAAGTTATTTTCTTCATCCAATACTTCAATATGAGATGTTCACTAGATAGTTTACCAAATTGCAACACGTGTTTCGCTATATAATAGCTTCCTCAAGCGTTTTCATAGTAACTAAATTCCACCTAACTAGTGCCTTATATAATAACAATTCGAATAATATGACCTCCACCCGAGTTCAGGCATGTACTAACCAAAAATTTGAACACGATAAAAAATCCATCAACCAATTTTCACATGAGAAAACAGATTCAGGAGAGGTACAGAATTCTATTCTAGTTGGTCATTTAGTGAATTTTCAAATCTATTCATTCACCCGCATTCCAAAAGATTGACTTTCAAACCTTTCTCTTTCAAATGTAATAAATACTTCAAAGTCGTGGTTGAACTAATGCCCATCAGTCAGAAGACTACTCCTATGGGAAAAGGGCCACAAGTCACCTGATCTTTTCGACCCTGAAGTTTTATCTTTATTGTTCTCAATAAATTTGCTGGAATTATCATTTGTCCGGTAAGCCACGTCCAAGTCTGCCTTTTCAAAAAACGACCGATGTTTTTTTTTGAAGATAGAATACAAGCACTTTAGAAGAATCCTTGAGACGCTCTGAAAGCGGTGCCGGTGCCAAAGTAGAGTATTTCCATTGGATTTGAATCGCTGGAGATCAAATCCATTTAGAAAAACGTTCTCAGGAAGTTTATGCCTCATAAACGCAGTTCTCCAAATGGAAAAGTTCCTAAACAGTGGAGTTCGAGGTGCACTATGGAAGATAGACAAATCCCAACCTTTCTTCGATGTTCCAGACTATCGAAGTTGCAAGTAATGTTCGCGTCTCCAATCAGGCGGATGGCTCTTTTTTGGAGGGAATCCAGCAGTTTCAGAAAATGCATGCAGCAGCAGGCAGTGAAAGATGAACAAGGACAGCCAACCCGCCCTTTTCTCGTGTACTTTGATATATTGGTACTGTCCAACAATTTATCTACAGAATCCTTGTTTTTTTAGAATCCCAACATATCTGTGACTGATTCTTCTCAGGAGATTCTCTTTCAGCACCAGCTCAGGTGGGAAGTGGTTTGCTCGGGTTGTGAATATGGTTTTCAAATTAGTTTGCCAACACCACAAGATGCCACTTTATAACCAATTAGTTGCGTTTTCTCTAATGAGAAGACAATGAATATGTGATCAATGAACTCTTTTTAGGCCCATTCATTTTTGATATGAATTAGTTACGTGACCTCATATATTGTGATTTTTATCGCTTTTCATATTGTAATCTTTTTTTTTTTCTTATTTACTCATTATTTTATTTTGTGATTTTGGGAATTTTTTCACTCATTGTGAATTTTTTCTTACATGTTTCATTTATTGTTAATTATCACTTTGCATTTTTTTGCCTATTTCATGCGTATGAGTCTCAGGACTTTATTGACTGGTTTTAATAGTTAAACTTCGAGAGTTGATCCATTTTGATGTTCTTCAAACTATCGAAACATCTAATTCGCTACACGATTTCTTTTGAGATTTATGGATAGAAAAAATTGACCAATATTCCGTCATCCACTTCGTGTATTGACTTTATATTCAAGTAAAACTTCATTATGAGATTTTCACTTTGCAAAACACCTGTTTCACTATACAATAGCGTCTTCAGAGGTTGTGAAAATCGTTCAGTAGAAATCCTACAATAAATTGTTACTTTAGTGCGTTATGATTTTCATCAAGTATCGGCCAATTCTATCACATACTTTTTTTTCAGTTTATCCTTAGCTTCTACACTCCATTGCGATATTCGTTTTGGCTGTATAGCAAAATTGTCTGCAATATTTGTAACTTCTGCATCTAGAAATAAAACGTATAAAGTGGCCATTTTCTCGTTTCACTAGATGTTATTGGCTACTACATTGCCTTGGCTATATACACAGTGATCCCAACTTATACCTGATACTTGAAGATGTGGGTGTGCTTCAGTTGGTTTTTCAATTCATCGACCAATTTGTGTCTGGCTCTTCCTTAACTTTTGCAGATTTTGGCTCGTTCTGTAATTGTACTACCATATTTCCTTTTCTCTTTTTCTCTTTTTCTCTTTTTCTTTTTCTCTCTCCTCTTTTTACCTTCATCCTATTCTACAATTCTTTCGCTCTCCTTAATTTTTCAGTTTTTTTGTTTTACCATTTGTTTCTCATATCTTTATTTTTTTTTTCATTCATGTTTTCTTTTTGGTTCCAATTTTTTAACCATCTAAGATTGATCCTAAAGTTATTGCTTCACTCTCGTTAGGAACTCTATGATATATGCCTTCATGGTCGCCATCCCATTGTGATTATTTGTGCATTCGTCATACGAGTACACCTCATATTATATTCCAATCCTTATTTTTCGGTAACACAAATTCCGCCGTTGTAACCAGTTTACTCCAATTACTGCTATTTATCTTCATCATACTTCAAAGTAAACTGCTGCGATGAGTCCATCAAACTGTCTTTCTATCCTATTGTCTGAGACACTACACTACTAAAATTTCATAAGCCACACTTATATATGGTGAATTTCACTAGTTCGGACTTCCATTGTCTACTATATAAAATTATATAGTAGACAATGGAAGTCCGAACTAGTGAAATTCATCAAGAAACATTGTCAATCATCTTCAAATAAACCCTAATGGCCATCTTGTTGAAGCTCCATCTGTCAAATTAGTTGTCATTTGTTCGGTCTGTTATGCCAAATTAGCATGGCCACAAAAGGCATTTAACAACACGTACGAGTAATAAAATTGTTTTATCAAAATGGGTGTTCTGTTCGGGCAACGTATCGCGCGCTTCGTTCAGTCTACGGTCGCCATAATCGTCGTACCGAGAGAACTATTCACAATGTAATGAATGAATTTGAGTCCAAGAACGTCCAATGCATCTCGGAAAATTAACAAATTTTTCTAAACTAAATTGGATGATCTGGACACCAACGATATGTGGTTTCAACAGGACGGCGCTACATGCCACACTGCTCATGCCACATTGGATATTCTGCATGATCATCTGACGTGGAGGTGATGTGAACTGGTCACCGAAATTGTGCGAGTTGACCCTGTTTGACTTTTTCTCGTAGATTTTCTTAAGTCACTGGTATATGCGAATAATTCACAAACCACAGCAGCCCTCAATGCCAACATAACCCATGCCATCGGTCAAATTCAGACTTCAGAGTCATGAACGATTTGGATACGCTCCACCCAGAGAAGCTGTGGCGGACATTTGAACGATGTTATATTCTCCACGTAATGGCATCAATAGGTCTGTCAAACGAATCAAAAATTTCGATGTATCTCACAGACGCTTTGTTTTATTCAAATTTAAAGATAGGAAACGCCTAATGAAAGACCGTGAATATTTCGATGGAAGTGATATACTGATTTCGATTATTCATCATTTTTAAAAGTCTCACCCACCATTTCTTCTAGTTAGGTTAGGTTAGGTCCAAAGTGAGTGGGTCTATTCGACCCCCCACCGCAACCCGCAAGAATTCATTGTGGCTCACATCTATTCACACTAGACCAAATAAAACCAGCTTTTAAACGAAGCCGATTAGTTTGTATGGTGATTGGCTTTCATGTCAGATGGTAAGAGTAGGGTTCTGCCGAACTCTAAAAACCTGATTCGGTCTCCAGCGGAGCAGGCACAAAATATGTGTTCTGCTGTTTTAGCATTTTCCAAGCAGAGGCGACACACACTGTTTTCCGACAGTCCGAGTCCCTGCATATGATGATTCAAATCACAGTGACCTGTGAGAAGGCCTGTTGGACATCATAGTTCATCCCTACTGTAGTCTAACAACTGTTGGGTATCAAGCTTCGAAGTGTGAATAAACGCCTTGGAGTGAGACAATCCTGGAAGATTCTGCCAGGAGTCCATAAATCTTCTTGCCATCCAGGTGTTCAATCCTTGTTAAGCAAAGCCTAAAGGTTCTGGTCCAATGAAACTGCTTGCAGCACCCTTTTTTGCAAAGGAGTCAGCAGCCCCATTGCCTTCCAGGCCAGTATGGCCAGGAATCCAGACCAGAGACGATCTGTTAAGTCTTCCTATCGAGGAGAGTCGTTTTTTGGCAATTAACTACCGATTTAGACGTTGTTCGGTTAAAGCCAAGAGCTTCCAAGGTCGCTTGACTGTCCGAGAATATTTTTATTGACTTGTGAATGAGGTTGAATTTTTCCAGTCTCTCCGCACACAATTCAATATCGTAAATTTCCGCTTGAAATACAGTCGAATAGGTTCCTAGGCAGGTTGATATCTCTGTCCTGGGTGTGCGCTTGAAAACACCTGCACCAGAACCGGAAGATGTTTTTGATCCATCTGTGAACCAACAACTATTTGCTCTTAATATATCCTTCTCCCGGAAGATCCAGTCCTCTCTACTCTAGAACAGTACTTTATAAGGCAGTCAACCAACAGTCTGTTGATTTGTCACTAAAACGATCAAGTTTGAAATCTAATTAACGCTCATCATGAAAAGCCCTGTATATAAAACAATTTTCAGCTATTTAAAAATCAATTTCACAATTTTGCGCATCTAAATATATGTACAATGCGTTCTTATGTAGTGATCAGTAAACCCAACAATATTATTTTAACAAGCTATATAATATGCTATTTGGTATTGGTCCGTCATCGTTATTCATCATATTATTATGTTTACTTATTTCTACACTTTCATGGGCATCTAGTTGCCTGTTATTGTTAACTTGTCTAACTATTCTTTTTTAAGTGTGCTATGTGTTCCTTATATATCACTTTAATAGATCTTTTTGTCTGTCCAAATGTCTGTCCAAAATATTTTGCATCGCAGTCTTTACATTCAATTTCGAAAATTCCAGACTTTTCCGAATTCTCGACTTTGTCTTTTGGACTTCCCAAAAGGCTCTGTAGTGTATGACTTGTTTTAAAAACCACCTTCATACCTAGTTCCTTGAAAATCTTTCCAAAGTTCTTCGTATATTGGTGGTATGGAACTTGAGATGTATTTATCTTGGTTTTTGTCCTTTTGAAAAGTCGAGATTTCGTTCATTCTTAACCTAAACTTCTTCTTCCTCATTATGACATCTACAAAACCCCTCGAGAAACTGTTAGTGGCTGCTATTTCCTGTATTGTACGTTTTTCTTTTGTGAACCTATCATGTGTCAGAAGGAAAGTCAAAAGACGATGCACCAAAAAATTCAACCCAGCACGTTTGTGCTGTCCACAGTAATGTAAACTGTCAGGTGATCGAAACACGTGTCGAGGTGTTGAAAATAACGATTTGGTGTTGGGAAAAAACTCCAGTAATATTCATTACTACACCAAAGGTTCCAAACAGTACATCATGGATATTCAGCACACCACGCTTTTTTACAACAAAATCATAACTTAATTAATTTTTTTGTGAATATATTTATTCTGATTTCAGACTTATAAAATATCATTAGTCACATCAAGCCATAGGACTAATTGTCGATGTTGAACACAATCTTAAGTTAGTTTCGAATTATTTTTAAGTTTGTGTTGATATTAAAGCATGTTTTTTCAGTTTTTCTGACTGTTTTATATTTTCTACTTTCCAGTTTGGCTATTTTGAACCCATTTGTTTTAATAAAAAATATATACGCATGCGCAGACAGTATGGTTGTCTCACTTGCTATGACATATTTAATCCTAGCGATCCTGATCAGGATGATGATGTAATGAAATTACTGTTTATATTATAAAAATATTATGTTCGACCAATAATAAATTGGATTGATAAAAAGTCATTATAATATACTTTTAATACATTATGCTTGTACCTAAATAACTTTTCACTCAATTGTAATGATGGCGAGGGTTATTTTCAATATACTTACATATTTTTCTTATTGTTAGTTGTAACACAATATTCAAAACTAAGCAATGGTTTTGACTTTTTTTTCAAATGTTTGTTTCTGAATGCATAGTACTGAACATCAATAAAAAACCTATAAGGACTCCAAGGAAGGATTTTCTGGTTCAGCCACTGGATGTACCTATTCAACACAAAATGCACTAAACAATTTGTTTGTAACTGTTACCAAAAATAATTACTTACTTGCGAGGCATCAAAAATGAAGCCATATATTCCAAATTTTTTTTTTATTTTTCAATTTTTCAGTTCAATCATCTATCGTTTGTAGAAAATCTGGATTTTTTCACGATAATCATCACAACCATTTCTCGTATTTCTAATTCCATATATTACCTATACGTTTGTTCGGTATCCTCCTCATCAAAATCTACTCAAATACTTATCAGACGTGGTTATTAATAATGTTCGTTTTTTGCAGATAAGGAGAAAACTAAGGCGTGAACTTGTGATCAAGACATAAAACAAGAACTGTGATATTTCAGTTTATGTTAATTTATTATATTTCTAAAGTAATCAAACCCGAAGAGAAAATCTTCTATGAAGAATTTTCTCATCTCAATTTTTTAAACATACGTTGAATAATTTATGAAATTGTTGATGGAAATTATGCGAGTTTCTGTTATTAATATAAACTATACTATTATTCCAAAACAGTTGGCACTAAATTCTCAGAAATGATTGACGTTTTTGTCTTAACCTGTCTTTTGAAGTGACGTACTGAAAGTATACCAAACAAATTAGGAAAAATGATGATAAAATATATAGAATTACAACCTTGACAACAATGTTTTCGTTTTGATGCAATCATATATCTGAGAATTAAGTGCCCACTACTATGAAATTATACTATAGTTCATAACTTTGAAAATAGGTATAGGGATTAATCTGAATGTAATTCACAAATTATTATCAAATACTGTCAGCGTCTACTGTGATTTTTTATCTCCCAAGAAAGCTGACCCATGTCTTTTATTAACTTCACTCTATCTGGATAGCCCATGAGAATGTGAAAATTGATTCACCCACATTCCGATCTGATGAATATATATGTAGGTGTATTCAATATATGTACTTTACTGTCATTATTTTTACTTTACCAATAATGAGAGATAGAGGACCGGCCAAAATTTCATAGTACATTACATATACATTGAATATGAACATACAGAAATTTTGAAAGTTTTACTTATTTATGAAATATATTTGTATTTCCATACATTTTCAATTTTATTTTCAATAACCCTTCCTACATTATATTGAAGAGAAGGTTGAACTTGGTGATTGCGTGAATTAAATTTCAGTTGGTGACAGGGTAAAAACCAGCTTAATTCAAAACATTTATACATTTTTGATAATAAGATCACTTCACTTAGAATAATGATAATACATATTTTTTCAACATTGTAGTTTTAGAAACGTCTATAAAAATATCTAAAAATCCTTGTAGAGCTCAGAAAGTTTTTAGAAATTAATAATTAATTTCAAGGAAATACAATTTCATTTGTCTCTTTTGAAAAATTATGTTACTTTGATTTGGAATGTATCTTTGCAAAATGTTTGTGGCTAGTTATTGAAATTAGTTATAATTATCATAAAAACATAAAAAAACAACAATCTGAAAAGAACATAGTAGTGATTGAGCAGGTAAATCCAGAATCATCCTAGTAAACACATGGACATCTATTCGATGTCCGAAATGGACTTTAAGGATATTTAATAAAACTCCATTGATGAACAAGGCATGCCCTATGAATAATAATAATGAGTTTATTCACCATAATGATAACAACGAAAATATTATGAAATAGGGGTGAACAAACAAAGGCATCACAAAAGAAACATTTTCGAAAAAAATGTTTCTTGTGCGTGATATCGCCTAGTATATGAATAAATGAATGAATAAATATAC